GATCAGAAGAGTTGACCTTGAAAAAAACAAGATATGGAATACATGCAAAAAACGCCCCAACGGTTCAAACACCCTCTGAGCGCAGGGACCCCAAGATGGACCTGACAAGTCCCAAAAGAGACCCGAGAGAGCCCCAAGGAGGCAGGGAAAAGTATGATTCGCCATGCGAGGAGCCCAAGACCGCCCCACGGACGCGTTCGGGCCGCGGCGCCCAACATGGCCTGCACGATGGTTCCACTTCACACAGGATTTGCTCTACAGTGGCATTTCAACCTCCCTACGAAACCCTCTTAAAAGCAAAACCATGCGAAACCCAGTCGCGAGCTCTCTCTTCGGAGGGCTGGCGGAGTCGCGCAAGCCTCTATATTCCGCCTGCCCATCGGGCTGAGGGGCGCGCGAAATATCGTTTCGAAAGCGGCCTTCGAAACATTCGCCCCTGTTGTTCCCCCCCTGGAGAAGCTCTTCCATGCAGCTAGCCGTCGCGGCCAATCCCCACTCTGAAACCCGAGGCGGTTCCAACACGGCGCCCAACGGCTTGAGCGCCACATCGTTGCCAGCATATTGTCGGAAGAATGCCTGGACCCCGCAATCGAGTTGGCTGGACCCCAGAACTTTAAGTTTGCAGCGCTACGGGACGCACACAGACGCACGATTACTATGCGTTCTCCTCGGAGGCCCTCGCCCGACCCGAACATCTGGTACACCCATTTTGTAGCATAGCGTTTCCCGAGCGGCGCGGCCAGAAAGCGCCCGCCGCGACGCATATACTATAATAATTATCGGCGCGCGCGTCGCCCCAGGGGGGGGGCGACGCGCCCATGGTATTACAGCCATGTTACTATTAAACGTTAAATTTCGAATGGGAGCTGTCCGACGACGACGACGACGACCGAGGGCCGCCTAGGACGCCGGCGAAACGGCGGCGCCAATGGACGCCCCCGCGCCGCGTCGCGTCGAAACATGCTCGGATCTACGCAACACGGAAACGTCAGATGCACACCGGGCCGACACACTGCGCTGCCCAACTCCAATGAGCGCGAACAAAAACGACCATCCGATCGCGATAACATGTTAAGAACACGCACGGGAGCGCGACGCCCGAATGCTTCCCCGAGAAGTCCGCACGGGCGGCACAATCATTTTGACCGTATATTAGAAGTCGGAAAGACAAGCGCCGCGCCAACCCCCCAACCCACTACCCCCCTGATGCAACGCGGACGAGACCGACAAGAGACGACGGCAATAGACCTCATCGGTGAAGTTGTCGCGTCGCTTCGATGCTCAGCTTTGCACCGCTGGGGTGAAGGGGTGGGCGCGGGCTGCGCGTTCGCCCAGGCGCGGCGACAGATTCGGTTACCGCCGCATGGGCGCGCCGCGGCATTTCCTCTTCGATCGCCTCCCGACCGGCGCAATCTCGGGCGGCGCGGTCAGAAATTGCAGTGCCTGGCACGGGCCGAGACTGTCCGCGGCGTCACCAAAGCCTGGCGAGTGGGAAAATGCAAGGAGCGGAGACCTGGCTCGGCGGCTCGATTCTGCGCGGTCGCTTTTACTAGCGCACGCCCCGGATCCTTCGCTCGGCGCCGCGCAACTGGCACTGCAGCCTGAACGGGGAAAGCACCACGCAAAGTGCGCGCGACGCAGCGAACAGATGTCGCGGCAGAGTCGTAGTAACCGGGTAGGAAACGGTAGAAACCGCGAAGAAACCGCACAACAACCGCACAGAAACCACATTTGTCACATAGAAACCGGCCAAACCCATCACAAGTAAATTTGCACTTGGAAACTTTTAGGGTGCGCAGCGGTCTATGCGTAGAAACACGCGCTCGCCACGAGGCTTTTACGCGGTATCTACGGGCTTCCACACGGCTTCTACAACGGAGCAGCAGCGGCGTCGGGCTTCACATTGAATGCTGGAATAGGAAAACAGCCGGCCAGCCATTTTCTCATTCAATTTTACGTTTCGAGCGGGCGCGGCCCGACGACGACGACGACCGAGGGCCGCCTAGGACGCCGGCGAGACGGCGGCGCTAATGGACGCCCCCGCGCCGCGTCGCGTCGAAACATGTCCGGATCTACGTAACACGGACATGTCTGATGTATACCTGGCCAATACACAGCGCTGCCAAACTCCAGCGAGCGTGAACAAAAACGACCATCCGCACGCGATAACATGTGAAAAACACGCACGGGAACGCGATGCCCGAATGCTTCCCCGAGAAGCCCGCACGGGTAACACAATAGTTTTGACCACATCTAGGAAGTCGGAAAGACGAGCGCCGCGACAGGCCCCCCCCTTCCTGATGCAAAGCTGACGAGACCTACAAGAAACGACGGCAATAGACCTCATCGGTGACGTCGCCGCGTCGCTTCGATGCTCAGCTTTGCATCGCTGGGGGAAGGTGGGGGCGCGGGCTGCGCGTTCGCCCTGGCGCGGCTACAGATTCGGCCACAGCCGCATGGGCGCGCCGTGGTATTTCCGCTTCGATCGCCTCCCAACCGGCGCAATCTCGGGCAGCCCGGTCAGAAATTCTAGTGCCCGGCAAGGGCCGAGACTGTCCGCGGTGCCACCAAAGCCTCGTGAATGGAAACATGCCAGGGGCGGAGATCTGGCTCGGCGGCTCGATTGCGCGCGGTCGTTTTTAACGCACGCCCCGGACCCTTCGCTCGGAGCCGCGCAACAGGCACCGCAGCATGAACGGGGAAAGCACCACGCAAAGTGCGCGCGACGCAGCGAACAGATTCTGCAGCTTGATTCCGCCACTCGCCCTAGCCAACACGAGAATGCCCCCTGGCGTCGCTGTCGCGGCAGAGAGTCGCAGTAACCGTGTAGGAACCGGTAGAAGCCGCGAAGAAACCGCACTGAAAGCGCATATCTGATACCTATACGACCACCCTTCGGGTGATAAGGAGGTTCGGGGGGGGAGGAACCAACGTCTCACTCGATCGGTCTCACTATCGATCGCACTATCGATATCACGATCGGTCTCTCTCGATCGATCTCACTCGATCGATCTCCCCATCTATCACACTCGATCTACTTCATTCGATCGATCTCACAATCGATCTGACTATCGATCTCACAGTCAATATCACGATCAATCTCACTTTCGATCTCACAAACGATCTCACATTCGGTCGCACGATCCATTTCACTATCGATATCACAATCGATCTCACCGCCAACGTCATCATGAGCATCATCAAGATCATCGTCATCAACGTCATCAACAACAACAACAACAACAACATCATCATCATCATCATCATCATCGGAGCACCATCCTCATCACCACCAGATCACCATCATCATCAACATCATCATCCTCACCATCATCATCATCATCATCGGGACACCATCATCGTCACCATCATCATCAAAATCATCATCAGGACTCATCGGGACACCATCATCGTCACCATCATCATCATCGGGACACCATCATCGTCATCATCGTCATCAACATCATCGGGCCACCATCACCAAAATCATCATCATCACATCATCATCATCGGGACACCATCATCGTCATCATCGTCATCAACATCATCATCATCATCATCATCATCATCATCGGGACACCATCATCATCATCATCACCAACATCATCATCAACAACAGCATCATCATCAACCTCACCATCACCATCATCATCACCGGGACACCATCATCATCCTCATCATCATCAGCAGCAGCCTCATCATCATCTCATCATCATCATCATCAACATCATTATCATCATCAACATCATCATCGGGACACCATCATCATCAGCAACATCAGCATCATCAACATCATCATCGGGACACCATCATCATCACCAACATGGCCATCATCGGGACACCATCATCATCAACATCGTCAACATCATCATCATCATCAGCATCATCATCATCGGGACACCATAATCATCACCACCATCACCATCATCATCATCACCATCATCATCAACATCATCGGCATCATCATCATCATTTTCATCATCATCATCATCATCATCATCATCATCATCGTCATCGTCATCATCATCATCATCATCATCGTCATCATCATCATCATCATCATTGGGACACCGACGAGACACCGGCGGGACACCGCGCCCCACCGGCCCCCGGAAAGGAAACATTTGGTCCGGCCGCGCCTCAGCCGGAGGCGGGACACCGGCGGGACACCGCGCCCCACCGGCCCCCGGAAAGGAAACATTTGGTCCGGCCGCGCCTCAGCCGGAGGAGACATTCTTCTCGCCCGCCCACGCAGCTTCGCCTCGCCCGCACGCACGGCACGCACGAACACGAAACCGAAACCGATTTCCCGGTAGGGGGGCTCTCCGTTCCACTTCGATCTCACCCCCTCACCTCCGATATAGAAACCTGTCCAACGCATTAAAAAGAAATTTATACCTTGAAACTTGAAGTGTGCAGCGGCTTCTACCTAAAAATACGCGGCTTCTACGCGGTGTCTACGCGGCTTCTACGGCATCCAAACGGTTTCTACAACGGAGCAACAGCAGCGTTGGGCTTCACATCTAAAGCTGGAATAGGACAACGGCTGTTGTAGCATGTTGAGGCGACGCCGATGCTACGTCGTTTGGGATGCGTTCCAGGATCCCGTTTTGGACTATGATTGACCCAGCTTGGGCCCCAAGAGGGAGCTCAAACTGACACCGATCTGGGCCACGGAATCCGTTTGGACTGGGCTCGAGACCAATACGGGGACGCTCTTGGGAGCTGGGGGGGGCTCTTGGGCTGTCTCCGGGGCATTCTGGATCGGTGTGTGACCATTTGGGTCACCCTGTGTGGGCGTCTGGGATTTCGCTCGGCAGAGATTCGGCCCATCTTGGGGCCGTGTTCGACTCGTCTGGCAAGGGTTAAGATGGACCGGAGGTGAACGCGAAACGTATTGGATAAGTTTCCAGCTCGCCTTCGGCGAAATGAGCCTTGTAGTCAGCTGACCTGGCCCGCAGGTGCTCGACAACTCTTTTGCGGACAAAGCCATGATGCTCCTGCGAGCCGAAGAGCTCCTGCGCAACTGCGCGAAACTGGCAGTTGCCGTCATCAGCCATCTCCAGTTCTCTGAGGCCCAGGAATATGCAGCGTTGCCTCAGAAGCTCCTTGCCCTCCATGATGTGATCTTCTCTGCTGGTGAGGTGGCTGGGCTTGCTCGGCGCTTGACCAGCACCGATATCGCCCGCCCAGGCTACCTTTGTCCCGGATCCTGCTCTCCATCCCTCGTGACCTTCGCGAGCTCTTCTCCGCCAGTGCACGGCGGCCTCGTCAGCAGGGGCGCGGGACAAGGTCATCGCTATGGGTGGCACGCAGAGTTGGGAAACTGTCACTGTGTCCGCTTCCACTTCTGTCGATACCAAGACTCCCTGGCCCCAAGACGGCTACACGCGTCGGACCTGAGGAAGAGCGACTCGCAAAAAAAAAAACTGGCATCCTTTCCCCGCTGAAAACCCCAACCGACTGGAGCGCGCTCAACCGCTTTCCACTGGGACGCCACATAAGAGGCCAACACCTGGACTGTCGGACGCCCAGTGCCCTAGAAAACGTTCCGGGAACCCTGCTGCAGGGAGGACGGCCATGTGCGGCAAGCGGGGCGTGAGCTGCGTGGTGGACATGCCCGTACGATGCGCCCCCGTGCGGGCACACGTCCGAATCGAACATGCAGCACAGACATGTGCTGTTGCCCAAGTTGCCCCGATACGCAACACGCAACACGTAGCGTACCGATACGGAGCTCAACACGTAGGCTGAACACGTAGGTCCTCGACGCGACACGTTCGCCAGAACGTGGCCCAACGCGTGGAGCCAGCACGCGACGTATTGACACGGACGTCTTCTTGAACACGGGACGTGTTGCGCTTCAAAACGGGCGTATCGAGGCAACCAAGGCTGTTACACATCGCTGCCCAGGCGGCACGGCCAGACCGCGCACGCCGACGAGCTTCTGAGCGCCCGTCGCCCCCTTGGGAGGGAAGGCGACGCGGGCACAGCAAAAGCGCGTCGGGGTGGTGCAGGAAGGGGAAGGCACCGCGCGAGGTCCGCGGGCAGGCAGCGGGCAGCATGGAAGAGAGAGAGCAGGGCGGCGCGCAGAGAAAAGGACGGCCGCAGAGAGGCACGAGCCGAGGGGAGAGAGAGTGGGGGGAGGGGGCGGGGAAGCAGGGGGAGAAGGGGGAGAAGGGGGAGAAGCAGGGGGAGAAGGGGGAGGGGGAGGGAGAAGGGGGGGGGGGGGGAGAAGGGGGGGGGGGCGGGGAAGCATGGGGAGAAGGGGGAGGACAACGGCGACCACGAGGAGTGGCCTGGCTGCAGAGACCACCTCCAGAAGCAGTGCCAAATGCACGGAGGCCGTCGCCAACGCAAGGGAAGGGCCGTCGTCGTATTCCCCAGATCCTGACGTATCGCGCCTCCTCATCCTCCACCTCCTCCTCGGCTCCGCCTCCCTCTCAAGACTCACTCATACTCAGACTCACTCATACCCAGGTTCACTCATACCCAGGCTCAGCCATACTCAAACTCACTCCGTAGTCAACCTCGCTCACACAAATGCTCATTCACACTCAGACCGACTCCCACTTGAAAAAAAAACATAGTTGTGCGCCCCATGCCAACAATACTGGATTACATAAATTCGTGAAACGCCTCCGCATCCTCTTCCTCCTCCTCCTCACCTCCCGCATCCTCCCGCACAAGACTCACTCATACTCAGATTCATTTCCATGCTCACTCAGACCCAGGCCCAGTCAAACTCAAAATCACTTGTGCTCAATTTCACTCACACAGATACGCAATCACATCCAGACCGACCCCTGTTTAGACCACGCGTACCTATGTTCCACCCACCCTAAATACGGGCTAGTGTTATTAGTGCCGCGACCCAGCCTGCTTCATTGACCCGCCCCATCCATCCCTCCCTCGGCACTCAAACTCAGACCCACCCACGCCCAGACCGACCCACACTCACAATTACTCACGCCCTAACTCGTTCCTACCCACCCACACATCCGGACCCCCACGGGTTCTGCCCCTCTCTCGTGCCACTCATACTCAGGGGCATGCCTACCCTGTTCCATTCACACTCAGATACAGTTGGGGCGTTGACCTAAGGAACCCCAAATTAGGAACGAGGCCCCTTTCTTCCATAAGTTCAGCTTCGATGCCCCATCGAAAACCAAAGGCATACCAAAGGCGAACTGTAGAACAACTGAGGAACACTGAGACCCTCCCACACAAAAAGGGTTCCTTCTTCAGCGCCCCGACTGTACTCACTCTCACACAAACTCACTGACGGGGCGTTGTCGACCAGGGGTGTTCCACGGACCCGCTGGTGGGTTCGCGCCCAGCTCGTGGGGATGTCTCTCACGCGGAGCACGGGCATAAAATGTCAGAGCCCCGTGCTCACCGCGCTGATGTGGCAGGCGCAGCATGTGGGTCTACCCAGTGGCGTGTCGACCAGGGGTCCCGATCGCGCCAAGATTTGTGGGGACGTTTCTGAAGGGGCCCAGGGGCACACACATAAATACACACAAATAACAGAATTCCCCATATCTTCCCATGTTTTCTGGGTTCTTGTCTTCCCCCCCATTTCCCATATCTTCCCATATTTTCTGGGAATCGACGATTAATTGTGCCAGTGTGTGTGTGTGTGTTTTTTCCCCTCCTGAGTTTCACGCGGAACGCCCTTGAACAGCAGGCGCGTGCTGGCTCCGGGCCCCGTGGTGACCGCGATGCAGCAGGCGCGGCAGTTGGGCCACCCAAGAGGTGTCGATCGAGGCATTCCACTGGCCCGATCGCGCCCAGATTGTGGGGATGCATCAGGCGAGACGCGTGTCTCGTCCCATCGTTGCCGCGATGCACCAGGCACTGTCGCTGGGCCTCTCAATGTGCAACCGCCTGGGGGGTATGACACGAGCCGATTCGCAGTGAGATTCTCGGAACCTCGCAGGCACTAGCCCTGTAGGGCCGAGGTGGTCCAGGACACTTCCTCATCTAACACCTCTCTTCCCCTTTGGGGAGGGGTTCACCACTGCCCCTTCTTAACAAATACCCCCTCCCACACTCGACCGCGAACCAAGGTCAATGCTATCCTCCCCCCCCCCGCGAAATCTAGACCGTGTTCGGGCGCCCCGCGGCAAATTTGCATTGATGCTAGACAAGGACAGGGGATAACGTAATACCACACGTGTGCAGGCCGAGCATCCCTGTAAAAAGCCAAATTCAGAGCGCACGGTGCGGCAAAATCTTGGACCATATACTTCTGCATAATTATTTGACGCGGATTTGGCGTGCCATGGCACGCGCGGCACACTTTGCGGGCGTCGCACTCCTGGATGGTTTCTGCATTGATTCCCGATGGTTGTCGATGGCGGCCCCATCTATGCTGAGACTGGGGCCTTCACTGGAGCTCCCAATGGGCCGATGGGGCCACGATACGCGTGAGGGGTGTACCGAGTACGTATGCGTACTGCGCCACTGGGGCATCAGTGGATCTCCCTATGGGGCCACGAAACGTGTGAGGTGTGCGCCGAAACGGTGATGAGAATGATGATGGTGATAACGCGTATGAAGATGGATGGTTCTAACGACGACGATGATGACGATGATGACGACGAAGGTGATGATGCCGAGGGTGAGGAGAAGATGGTCATAAGCATGATGGTGGCCACGGTGATGATGATGATGGCGACGATGATGATGATGATGATGATGATGATGATGATGATGATGACGATGGTGATGATGGTGCTGATGTTGATGGTGGTGACGATGATGGCGATGATGATGGCGATGATGATGGTAGTGATTGGAAGTGCGAAGGGGTGGATGAGGAGGAAGTGAAGGGATGAAGTGAGGAGGAGGAAGATGAGGGGGAGGAGGAGGAGGAGGAGGAGGAGGAGGAGGAGGAGGAGGAGGAGGAGGGAGGTGTGGAGCGCGGACTCAACGCACCGAAGGACTCACCACACAGAAGGGTTGGAAAAATACGAATACTATCAATACGATCTCACACACACACTAAGTATGAAAACCTTCTAGAGGATCCCGACTGACTAACAAATGTACAATAAAAGCCGTATGCGGGGGGCTGGGATCAGCACATGTCCTAATGGTTTCTGAGTGGGGGGGCGCATAACCTATTAAAGTTTTCTGCGGGAGGCTTGGAGCAGCGCATGTCCTATTGAATTCCGATTGAACAACGAACAACATCTTATATATTTCTGCGAGGGGCTGGGATCGGCATATTCCCGATTGAACTACTATGCTTAAACGTCAAAGCACATGACATGTTAAAGAATTCGTTGGGGGGCCCAGGTCGGAACAGTTCCATTGAACATCCAGATTGAACAACACAGAAAATATCTGGGAATTCAGCGGGGGGCTGGGATCAGCGAATTCCTAACGGGTTCTAGTTGAAAACGCCTAAAATGTTAAAGCAGTCGGCGGGAGGCTCGAATCGGAGCGCTTCCATTTAGAATCCATTAGGAACGCCCAAGACAAACTTACATACTTATACGGGAGGCTGGGATCGACACAGCTCCTATTGAATTCCGCCTGAAAAAATAGAAAGCTATAGAATTCTGCGGGAGGGGGATCAGCGCGTGTCCTACTGGGATTGTAACCGCACGGTCTCGACTGGATGCCCGTACCACACCACTCCGCAAGACCGCTCGGGAGGCCACGAGAACGGCGACGGCCGCGCCCTTCGTCCCCCCGTGGCTCGCGCTCATCGCCAGTGCGGTCAGGCAGCCCCCTTGCCCGCAGCGGGAGCAAGGACGAGGATGACGAGGCCGAGGCGGAGGCGGAGGCGGAAGCACGCAAGTGGCAGGAAGCGCAGCTGGTGCCGTGCTCCCCTACATGCTGATGGCAGCTGGTGCTCTTTGAACAAGGTGATGCATGCAGGAGGGGGGGGGGGGCGGAGGAGGATGAGGAGGTTCCGAGGGACGCACCCATTCTTGGACGCAAAGGGCCGAAGCTTGAAGCTCGAAGGAGGGGGCTCGAGCTGCCACTGGCGTGGTCATGGTGCCCGCAAAAGACTTCCTTGAGAGGCTTCTGATAATGCCCTGTCAACTCCCAGACACTCCCGAACCACCCAAGATGATGCGAGACTGCTCACGGTCGACGTGGGGTGGGAACGTATTCGGTTGAGTCTCGCCCCTGGTTTACACAACGACTGCTTCGGACTGCTTCTCCCCACGCGAGTTTCCGCAACACCTCGGGGAAACTACAACTACCCAACAACTCCCCAATCCCTGCGAGGACACCGAACAATTGCGACCATGCCACAAGGTGGACTAGCGTTTCGCTTTTACGTCCGCCGCCTTCCGCCGAGGCATCGACAGTCCGAGCTGCCCCCGCCGAACTCCCGCCGAGATAGCAAAGGCACCTCCCTCGAACGCACTGCCTGAAGCGCCCAACATGTCAAACAACGTGCATGCGAATAGGGCTCGCCTCGAACACCAACGCGTCGTGCGCGCCCCGACGCCAATTTCATGTGTGCCCTGGCTTCCGAGAGAGCCCAGCCCGACCCCAGCAGGGCGTATCCATCCTGCGCCGCCTATTCCTCCCCGACCCGCCTCCTCCTCCTCCTCCTCCTCCTCCTCCTCCTCCTCCATCGTCCTCCCTCCTCCTCCGCCTCCTCCTCCTCCGCCTACTCCTCCTCTTCCTCCCCTCCTACCTCCTCGCTCGTCCTCCCTCCTCCTCCTTCTCATCCCCCATGTCGACTGCGCACAATGTGTACGCAAAGAGCGTCCCTGCGCAGTAGTGACCTGGGGTGCGCAGCTGTAGCGGGGCGCGGGGGGGGGGCCAGACCCAAGCGCGCAGGCCTCTGTTATCGCATCCCACTTCGGGAACCTCCTGGGGCCCCTGTGGGCCTCTTCGGAACGTCTGGAGCCCCAAGATTCCACAATAATTCTGCATGGACAGGTTGGATCCCTTCAGGCTTCCCCGAGATGTCCTACGTATCCTGGGGATTTCCCACACGCTCTCAAGAATGCGCAGGGCTGCTCGGAGCTCCTCTTCCCCAAGATTCCTCAAGACCTCCCAAGATTTGTCTAGACCCCCTGGCTTCCTCAGGAATCCGCAGAATTCCTCAGGACCGCAAACGGTTTCCACCAGATGCCAGCGGATTCTCGTCAATTGCTCATGAACCCACTGGTCTCCGTACGACCCCTATCACGCTTCCTCACAAATGTTTCACGCTTCCCCGGGCCCCCCCCGATTTCCATTGGATCCATCAGGAATCCCTGAGATTCGTCAGGGTTCGTGTGGTTTCCCTTTGGATTCTGCACTCAGGATTCTTCCGGATTCCCACGAAGGTTCCTCAGAACCCTCAGAGTCCTAAGGGCTCCCCAGTATTCTTCGGGACCTCTCTGGTTTCCTCAACATCCAACGGGGACCCGTCGGATTCCTCAGGATTCCTCAGGGTTCTGAACTCAGAATTCTTTTGGGCCCCCCAGGAATCCTCAGGAGTCCCAAGGGTCGAGCAGGGTTCCTCAGGGCTCCTCAGGACTCCTCAGGCATCATGAGGAGCCCGCAGGATTCCCCTGGGTTCCTCAGCATTCCTCAGGAACCTCAGGAGTCTTCAAAGTTATTCGGGGTTCTTCTGAACCTTTCTGGAGTCCACGCGTTTCCTTGGGAGTCACAGAATGTCCAAGATCATTGAGGATTCCTTAACGATTCCCTGGTCTTCTCCAGAACCCGAAGGAATCCCCAGGAGTCTTCGCGACTCCTCAGGATTCCTGCAGTTTCCACCGGATTCCTCGGGACTTCCCCAGATTGTTGAAGCTTCACCAGGGCTTCTCAAGATTTGAGAGAGCGTGATCCACCGCCGCTTTACTGTGGAAAACTCCCCCCTCTCTTCCTCCGTAACGCGGGGGCCCCCCCCCTCCGAAAATCCTCCCCCATGCTGGAACCCCCCGCTCCCCCCCCTTCCCTCCGGCAACCCCCCCCGCCCTCCTTAACCCCCCCCTCCCCTCCGGAAAACCGGTGGGGGTCACTACCGGTTCGAACCTCCCCCCCCCTCCGGAAAATCGGGGGGGGTCACCACCGGTTCGAACTCCCCCCCCAGAAAACTCCGGGGGGGTCACTACCGGTTCAAAACCCCCCCCCCAAAGAAAACCGGGGGGGGGTCACTACCAGTTCGAACCCGGTTAACCCCCCCCCTCCAGAAAACCGAAGGGGGTCACTACCGGTTCGAACTCCCCCCCCCCCCACGCTCACCGCCGGCAAACGACTCCTGGGTCCCTACCACCGTCCGCACCACATCCCCCACCTGCTGTCCCCAGCACCACTGTCCTCACAACCACTGTCCCCACTGTTCCCACCACCGTCCCCACTGTCCCCACCAGTGCCCCCGCCACTGTCGCACTGTTCCCACTGCCCCCACCACTGTTCCCACCACGGTCCCACTCTCCCCACTTTCCCCACGGCCCCAACCACTGTCCCACTGTCCCCACTATCCCACTGTCCCACTGTCCCCGCCGCTGCCCCACTGAGCTGTCCCACTGTCGCCCCACTGTCCCCACCACTGTCCCCACTGTACCTCTGTCCCATTGTCCCACCGCCGTCCTCGCCACCGCCCTCACCACTGTCCCCACAACCACTGTCCCCACCACATTCCCATTGTCCCCACACCACTGTCCCCACCACCACCGCCCCCACCACTGTCCCACAGTCCCCATCACTGTCCCACTGTCCCCACTGTTCCCACCAGTGTCCCCACCCACCAGTGTCTCACTGTCCCCACTCTCCCCACTTTCCCCACGGTCCCCACCACTGTCCCACTGTCCCCACTGTACCCACTACTGCCCTACTGTCCCCGCCGCTGTCCCACTGTGCTGTCCCACCGTCCCCACTGTCCCCACCACTGTCGCACTGTCCCCACCACTCTCCCCACTGTACTACTGTCCCACCACTGTCCTCACCACCGCCTTCACCACTGTCCCCACCGACCACTACCGTCCGCACCACCGTCCCACTGTCCCCACCACTGTCCCGCTGTCCCCTCACCACTGTCCCCACCACCACCGTCCCCACCACTGTCCGCACCACTGTCCCACTGTCCCCGCACCACCGTCCCTACCACCACCGTTCCCACCACTGTCCCAGTATCCCCACCATTGTCCACCTGTCCCGAAGAGCGGGAATCGTTTGCCGGCGGCGAGGGGGGGGGGGGGGTCGAACCGGTAATGACACCCCCCGGTTTTCGAGGGGGGAGGTTCGAACCGGTAGTGAACCCCCCCCTCTTTTCATGATGGACTGGGGGGGGGAGGGGTTCGAACTGGTAGTGATCCCCCCCCCCGGTTTTCGAGGGGGGGGGGACGGGTTGGGACCCCCCAGTGACCCCCCCCAGTTTTCTGCCAGCAGCGGTAGAACAACTCCCTTTCCAAGATTCCAGGATGCCTTTAGTTTCCCTGGGATCCCCCAGGAAGGCTCAGGAATCCTGATGGATCCATCTCGCTCCTAAAGAAATATCCCGGTTTCCGCGCGGAGCTCCTTGAACCCCTCGAGATTAAAAACTGAAAACCGCAAGGAGTAAAGCTCGAGGAAATCCATGGAACTCTTCGAGCTTGCGAACTCTCCATATGAGTGATAAAGATCGGAAGAATCCCTGGAACTTATCGAGCCTTACAACTGAAAACCGCAAAGCTTCCCCGCGTGACCAGGAGACGACCGCAACTTGCCCTCTCTCCGAAAGCACTCCTACAGCCAACCCAGAGGGGTACCAACAATCTCAAGCCTTGCGCACGACCAGGTGATGTCCGTGGGGCGCGTGACCAGGTGATTACCAACCCTCTTACTACTAAGATGAGGACGACGACGACAAGGAGGACAAAGATGAGAGGGACGAGGACGACGACGACGGCGGTAAGGACGATGAGGACGAACACGGCAACGACGACGACAAGGACGAGGACTGGCACTGTCACAGTCACTGTCGCTGTCACTGTCGGAGCGGTGTCCGATTCGTTACCTCATAATGTTTTCATGTGTCGCTGCAAGCAACGTGGCCTGCTTTAAATCATATGAAAAAGAAAGACGTCAAGGAAGAGGACGACGACGATGACGACGACGAAGACAGGCTCCCTCCTCGAACAGAAAAACTGCCTCCTCGACGAGGAAACCACCTCCCTTGGGAGCTCCCACCCCCCGCGAAGAAGAGGGCTGCCATCTCGGCGAGGGGACGACTTCCCTTGAGAGCTCCCTCCTCCGAAACTGGAGCAGCCCGCAGGAGCCCCACTGCGGGTGCGGTGGCAGACCGTGCGGCGACCTCGAAATCCCGAAAGGCCTCACCGCACGGCCCGTCCCAGAGCAGGCTCGGGACCTTGGCGGCCCCGTCACCCGAGACGTCCTCGGAGAACGGCCCAAACTCCAACACCAATCCCCACTGACTCACCCGACGGTGTGGTCACCGCACTGTTTGGGGGCTTTCCGGGTCCCCTCTGCTAAGGGACCCGCGCGTCCACGGCGCATGCCCATGGTGCGCCCACGCAAGGGACGACAGGAACAGGACTGCGACTAGGCTCTGGAGGGTCTCGTGAGGGCTGAGCCGCACGCGCAGCACCGCGTCTACACCCTGAAGCTCTGCTGGGGCCTGGCAGGCGAGCTCACGTCGCCTGTCGCTGCTGACGCGGGTCGCGCGGGGAGAAGAGGGAGCAGGAGGGAGAGGGGGAGGGGAGGAGGGGGAAGGGAAAAGGAGGGAGGGGGGAGGGAGGGGAGGGGGGGGGGGAGGGAGGGAGGGGGGGGAGGGGGGGGGGGGGGAGGGGAGGGGGGGGGAGGGGGGGGAGGGGGGGGGAAGGGGGGGGAGGGGATGAGCGGGGGGCCTTCGCGGCCTGGCCCAGGAGCCGCGCGTTGGACTTGCGGGAGAGCCGAGCGGCGATCACCTGACGGGCAGGGCGACCATAGGGAAGAGAGAGGACGGGAACTGGACGAACAAGCAGCAGATACAAAAGAGATTGGACGAGCAAGCAGCAGATACATAAGAGAAGCAGATACAGAAAACAAGCTTATAACTACGCAAACAGGGAGGACGGAATTGAGACGGGAACGCAGTGAAGCAGAAGTTCGGGAGCAGAGAGTACAGGAATAACAATAATAACAACAACAATAGCAGATAACACCCAGAGAAACAAGTAAGACCCTCCCAGTGCTATCCAGAGCACTCGAAATTGAATAATGAATTTCCGAAGGGGGGAACCGCCGAGCGATATCATTTAGCACCGCAACTAACTTATGAATTGAATAATTCCGCGGGGGGGCGATTGTGCTCATCGAAGAGGACTCCTACTATGATCCGATCCTATTGGGACCTCTTGGAATCCGATTGGGATCTCGCTGGGTTTATGTTGCAATCCCCTTGGGCTCTCACTGGAATCCGAATTGGGTCCTGTTGGAATATGTACTTGGATCCTGGTGGGATCCCTCGCTTCCAGGGGGCGAAAAGCCGTACAGTCTCGCAAGATGGGCGGGTCTGAATTGCCTCTCCGGGTATACACACACACCCGCCCTGGCGAGACTAGATCGCTATATAAATAGTCTACATACATACATACATACATGCATGCATACATACATACATACATATATACATACATACATACACACCCATACATACATGCATACATACATACATACATACATACATACATACATACCCACCTACCTGCCTTACCTACCTACCTACCTACCTACCTACATACGTACGTACGCACGTATATGCATACATACATGCATACATGCATACATACATGCATACATACATACCTGTATGCATATGTACATAAATACATGCATGCATACATACATACATACATACATACATACATACATGCATACATGCATACATGCATGCATGCATGCATGCATGCATGCATATATGCATACATACATACACACATACAGACATACATACATGCATGCATGCATGCATGCATGCATATATACATACATACATACATACATACATACATGCATACATGCATACATACATACATACATATACACACCTATACATACATACATATATACGTACGTACATACATACATACATACATACATACATACATACACACACATACATGCATACATACATACATACATACATACTATATACATACATACATACATACATACATACATACATGCATGCATACGTACGTACATACATACATACATACATACATACATACATACTATTTACATACATACATACATACATACATACATACATACATACATACATACATACATACATACATACATGCATGCATGCATGCATGCATGCATGCATGCATGCATACATACATACATACATACATACATACATATATACATGCATACACACACACGTACATACATGCATACGTACATATATACACACACTCTTGGAGGTCTGGGCGGATCTCTTGGGTCGGCGCTGGGCCCTCCGGGCGCGCTCCGCGCGACAGGGGAGAGGGGCCAGCAGGCTGTCAGTGACCGGTGAGGTGGTCACCTGCCCTCCCCCGAACTACAGGCCTCGGAACAATTTAGCGAACACATGCCACATTCATCCGTCAACGCCTCCCCCTCCCCCCAAGGTTCAAAGTTGGCGGTGGGTCTGATGAGATGCACTTCGACCGCAGTCTCCCCCGCGCGTGCCAACATTGAGTTTGGAGGGGAGGGGGAGTGTTCAGTAATTGTTTCCCTCTACCGTAGGGTCGAGAGCTTCTGCTTGGCGTGTCGCGGCGGCGGCAGCCCAAACGACACGCCAGGCCTTGCGAGCGGAACGCGTGTCGCTCCGCCCCGCGGGGCGGGCGGGCGGGCAGGGCTCGAAACGTGGACGCTCGACGACTGGGAAGCGGATAGCGAGTCGCGCCGGAGCGTGGCGGGCCAGCACCGGCGGCGCGACTCTGTGTGGTCCGCGGGCACATGCGGGCGCGAGGCGCGTGCAGATGCCGGTCGTCAGCAGGAGGGGTGCTCTGGAGGCGGATTCGAGGCGCGGGGGTCATGTCGGGCGTGTCCCCCTACAGGGGGATTTTCGACGAAAAAACAAGAATACGCCAGAAAAACTCCAAAAAGGTGAAACAAATACTCAAAAAATAGTCCCCGCACTATTTTTGGGAGTATTTTCTGACTATGTTGGGGGTATGTTTTATTTTTCGTCGAAAATCCCCTGGTAGGGGGACAGGCCCGACTTAACTCTGGAGGGGGATTCGAAGCGCGGGGGGGAACGGGCCGTGCAGGGGGCGAGGCGGGGAAGGGAGGCGACAGAGGTTTTTCGTCGCTTTCGGCCTCTCGGGGCCCTCGCCAGGCCTCCCGCGGGACCGTCAAAAAACGACTCGGGAACCCGGCCCCGGGGAAGTGGTCGGGAGGTCGGGACCCGCGCCAAAAAAAAAACATCGAGGCATCGGATGTCTGGGGGCACAGAGAGCGTCTCGGAAGGCGCGAGGGTCTCTGAGATAAGTCCCGCCGCCTTCTGCAGGGCGCCCACAGCGGACGTACGCGCCCAGCGATGTGCATGAGCACGGCCCCTCGACCCGTGAGACCTGCCGCGTGATACGAACGTTCGCGCCATGCGAACTCTCGAAACCAGCGTGGATTCATGTACGTGTACGTCCCTCTTTTGCTCCTGATTCTGGGGAGGCCCTCTCCTTCCCTCGCTTCCCCCCCCTCTCGCCCGCCGCCGAGCGCAGAGCGCGAGGCACCTCACGGGCGCGCCACGGCGACGTGCAGGCGCGTGGGCACCGCGGGCGGCGCGGCGCGCCGAGCCAGAGGCCCCGGCCGCAAGAGGCAAGGCAGTTTCGGAGGGCCACCGCCCTGCGCTCTCCCTCCCCCTGCGCGCCGCCTCCGGGGAGAGCAAAGATCGGCGGCAGACAATGCTCCCTTTCCGCAGACCTCCCCGTAGTGAAAAAACGGCCTGGGACCGAAACCGACGGCCCTGGACCCGCAGAAACGACGGCCGCGACGCCCTCCCGCGAACCGCGCACGGCCAATTCCTGAATCGACGTGTCAGGGTAGGAGGTCTGTCCACCCCCGAAAAGAAAGGCACCCATACCGCCACTCCCGGGACCTCTCCTGGGGCGCGTCCGGACCAGAATCCCGAGGCGAAGCCAGCGGCCAGGGCCTCCCAGGAGGCCGGCGAAGGGGAAAACGGCCGAAGGGTACACGTCGTTCATCTCTGATCGTGTTCGTTTCTAATCGCTCTCGTTTCGCATTGTTCCTGACCCCCTAGTGGCCAGGAAGAGGCCCAGAATAGAACAATCAGAAATGAGAGGATCTTGGCCCCCCAAGAAATCGAAGAACTCCCGAATAATTCAAAATGAACAGTGTGTAGAGGTATGGGGTATGGGTCCCTTTCCCTCCTTGGAGAGAGAGAGCGCCGGAAAAACGTCCTGGAAGGACGGCCCATGAGAGCCCGGCGGGGGCGCCGGAGCGCCAGAAGGCTCACTCGGTGTAGTTGCCGGAGTGGAGGAAGCGACGCATATAGTCCAAGAAGCCTTCTTCACGAGTCTTCCACCATGGTAGGTTCTGGGCCAACACCCCGCCACACGGTCAAGCGCAGCGACGTTCCCCAAGAAGACGCCCAGGCCGAGCCAGATACTCACCCAGAGGGCTTTCCCTCCTTGGGGCCTCGGGGATGCGATGCGATGCGACCACCGTTGCGGACAGCGTCCGGGCCTAGAGCAGACCAGGTGGGTGAGGCCATGGCCTCTAGGATCTGAGGTGTCTGGATTCATGCAGTGCGAGACATGTCAAAAGTCTGGAGGGGAGGGGGAGGAGGAGGAGGAGGAGGAGGAGGAGGAGGAGGAAGAGGAGGAGGAGGAGGAGGAGGAGGAGGAGGAAGAAGAGGAGGGGAGGAGGAGGGATGAGGAGGATGAGAAGGAGGAGGAGGAGGGGGAGGAGGAGGAGGAGGAGGAGGAGGAGGAGGAGGAGGAGGAGGAGGAGGAGGAGGAGGAGGAGAGGGAGGAGTAGGAAAAGAAAGTCATATTGGTGTCGGTGCCGGCGCGGGTTGGGCGAGACTACGTCCTTGGGGCCTCGGGGGAGGAGAAGAGGGCGGGAGCTCGGCACGGGCCCTGCGGGCAGCAGGGCAGCGGAGGCCTCGCAGGAGCGCAGGGGGGGGCAGGAGGAGGAGGAGGAGGAGGAGGAGGGGGAGGGGGAGGAGGGGGAGGAGGAGGAGGAGGGGGAGGAGGAGAAGTAAGAGGAGAAGAGGAAAAAAAGGAAAAAGAGGAAAAAAAGGAGAGGAGGAGAGGAGGAGGAGGAGGGGAGGAAGTAGGAGGAGGAGGAGGAGGAGGAGGAGGAGGGGAGGAGGAGGGGGGGGGGAAGGCAGATCGCCAGCGGCAGGCGCGCGAGGCCGCAGGAGGCCCTGCTGCCGGGCGGCGACGAAGCAGGACGGCGGACGACGACGACGACGACGACGACGACGACGACGACGACGACGACGACGACGACGACGACGACGACGACGGCGGCGGCGACGACGACGACGACGACGACGACGACGGCGACGACGACGGCGACGGCGACGACGACGACGACGTTTCCAGGTCCACCGGCCACGAAGTGCACCCATCAACGAGCCTCTCGCATCTCACCCACCGGCTCGTTGCGAAACCACTGCCACTGAGATCGTGAGACTAAGCAGGCACGAGGAGGGAGGAGGAGGAAGAAGAGGAGGAGGAGGAGGAGGAGGAGGAGGAGGATGGGGAGGAGGAGGGGGAGGAGAAGTAAGAGGAGAAGAGGAAAAAGAGGAAAAAGAGGAGGAGAAGGAGGAGGAGAAGGAGAAGGAGGAGGAGGAGGAGGAGAAGGAGGAGGAGGAGTCACCCTGTCGTACTCTTGCCGCGGCATCATCGCCGGCGCCGGCGCAGGCGCCACAGCTCGCGGACTGCTCCGCGGACTGCTCGCCCTGGCATGGGAAAGAGGGGTCTCGAGGGAAGCGCGCCAAAGGCCCCGCGGCTTCCCCCAGGATCGGCTCTCGATCCCCCGTCGCTCTCGGACGGTCAGGGGGGGGGGGGCCCGAGCGGAGAAAGACCTCCCGACCCCCTTTTTATGGCCATCGCTCGGACGCCCATCCCCCTTGCATTTTCTCGGCATCGCGCGTGTTTTTTTTTATTTCGCAGAGGTGAGCACACATGTTCCTCGATGGTCCTTGCCGGGAGGAAGTGCACAAGTCCGAGCGATGCCACGCTGTCCTACGAGGGCCCCCGTGGCTCGTGGTGACGAGCTGGGGAGGAGGTCTCCGGCACCCGGAAGCCCCCGGGGGTCCCAATGGAAGTCCCCAGGGAGAGCGCGGGAGGTCCACGGAGGCCTCTGGGCCCAAGAGACACATCGACCCTTCATCCTCGACCTTGGCGCCCTGAGGTCTGGGCGTCGCTGATTCTTTTTGTTCACACCCTGCGCTCGCTCGATTTCGAGCATCGCTCTGGCCCGAGGAATGCCGAAGTCAGGACGGCGGAGCTCAGGCAATCGCGAAGCTCGGGCTCCTCGTCCGCCTTTTCCTCCTCCTCCTCCTCCTCCTCCTCCTCCTCCTCCTCTTCCTCCTCCTTTTGCCACCTCCTCCTCCTCCATTCCTCTCCTGATAGCCGGGCGTTTCGCCTGAGACTTCCTCACATTTATGACTCTGAAGCTGATGAAAAGTGGCAACAGCTTCACTGATGGAGGGCGGGTCGCTTTCACATTATGGCTTCGCCTTAGCGCCGCGCACATGCGTTGAAAAAGTGTGCAAGAGCTTCACGGATTGAGGGCGGGTGGTTTTCAAAATGCGGCTCTCGCCTTAGCGCCGCGCGCATTCCCTTTACAAATTTGCAAAAGCTTGGCGAATTGAGGGCGAATCGTTTTCAAAATGTGGCTCTCGCCTTAGCGCCGCGCACATTCGTTTTAGAACATTGCAAGAGGTTCGCGGATTGTTTGGAAAGACTCAGGGTTATGAGGACGCCACAATTACGTTGACTCGCGGTGTTGAAGTCCCAGGAATGACGTTCTGGCACGATTCAGGATTGTCAGGACGCAAGAGTCAGGTTGATCCGTGGCGTTGGAGTCCCGAGAACAATGGTTTGGCATGCATCAGGGTCTTCAAACGGGTGCCTTCCAACGAGTCAGTTCCTTCACTGGAAAAGAGCTGTTGCAGGGGCCTATGAAGAAGGAGCGTGGAGGGAGGGTGTACTCCAACATCGTAGGTGACTCTTGGGTTTACACTGGTCATTCTCCTCCTCCCTCCTTCTCCTCCCTCCTCCTCCAACCCATACATCCTCGATCCTCGATCCTTCCTGGCGGTCCTTGGGCTGCTCCGCGGGCTGCCCCGCCCGCCGCTGCCAGATGCTCGCGAACCCGCGGGCGCCGAGAAGGCTGGGTACGGCGAGGCCTCAGCAGGCCCCTCCTCCTCCTCGTCGTCGTCCTCCTCCTCCTTCTCCTCCTCCTTCTCCACTTCCTTCTCCTCTTCCTCCTCCTCCTCCTCCTCCCACCTCCTCCCACCTCCTCCTCCTCCATTCCTTCTCCTGCTCGATAACTTCTCCCTGTCGCACCCCGAGGCAAGTGTTTAGGGCGGGCCGGGCGTTCCGCCTGAGACTTCCTCACCACTTATGACTCTGAAGCTGAAAAAAAAGGCAACAGTTTCACAGATGGAGGGCGGGTCGTTTTCAAAATGCGGCTTCGCCTTCGTGCCGCGCACATGCGTTGAAAAAGTTTGAAAAAGATTCACGGATTGAGAGCGGGTCGTTTTCAAAATGTGGCTCTCGATTTAGCGCCGCGCACATGCGTTTTCAATAATTGCCACTGCTTCGCGGATTGAGGGCGGTACCTTTTCAAAAAGTGGCTCTCGCCTTAGAGCCGCGCACATTCGTTTTAGAAGCTTGCAAGAGCTTCACGGATTGAGGGCGGTACCTTTTCAAAATGTGGCTCTCGCCTTAGCGCCGCGCACATTCGTTCATAAAAATTACAAGGGTTTCACGGATTGACGGCGGGTCGTTTTCGAAATGTGGCTCTCGCCTTCGCGCCGCGCACACTCGTTCATAAAAATGTTGCAGGTTTTCACGGAATCCCATGATCAACGTACCAGAAATGGCGTTTTGGAAGGATTCGAAATTACGCGGGGCGCAACAGTAATGTTGATTCGCGGTGAAGTCTCGACAGTGGCGTTCTGGCACCATTCCGGATGGTCAAGACGCAGCAGTCAGGTTGATACGTGGCGTTGAAATCTCGAGAGCAATGTTTTGGCACGGTTCAGGATCATCAAACGGTTGTCTTCCAACGAAGCAGTTCCCCCAATGGAACTGAACCATTGTAGGCGCCCACGAAGAGGGAACTTGGAAGGACGGTTCATTCCAACACCGTCGATGGCTCTTTGGTTTACACTGGTCCTCCTCTTCCTCCTCCTCCTCCCTGGATCCATCGGCTGGTGCTCGGAGGTGGGGCCAGCCGAGACAACAAGCGGCCCTGCGTGGCGTGTTCGTCCTTACCTGGACCACCTCCCAGAGACTTCTCGTCGCCACGGCCGCATCCGTCTCGAGGAGCGGGTTGGCACATGGACCCGGGAGGGGGCAGGGGACGGACTCGAACGCCCTCATCTGGACCTCCTCTCGTCGCCACGGCAGCATCCGTCTTGAGGAGCGGGTCGGCACATGGACCTGGGACAGCGGAGGAGGAGGAGGAAGAGGAGAAGGAGAGAGGAGGAGGAGGAGGAGGAGGAGGAGCATTGAGCATTGAGATCCCCATTGCGAGTGCAAGAACGGTGTGCTTACAGCTGTTCGTCCTCCTGTGGTCGCCTCTGGTCGGCGGTGCCAAGGGACTTAGGAGGCAAACCTGCTGCAATACGTTTGAGATGTTCCCGATCAATGCGAGCTGGGCGGGTATTACAGGGCTTCCCCAACAAACACACCTGCTTATCGGCGATGGCCCCGCACGAACCGCAGAACCAGATACGGAGAACAGAATGGAAGTTGAGGAAGTGGGAAGGGTGCAGCCAGCCCCCCGCAACATGGATTCGACCACCGACAGGTGGGGAGAACAAAGTGCCGTCGATATTGACATGTTCGCAGCACCTCGAAGCCTGCCACTCCTGGGCAGTGGAGGCGGACGCAGAACCGAAACACCTGAGGCACTTGCGTTGGCACTCCGTGAGCCTATGAGCCGAGAGCAAGGAGGAGAGAGCAGCAGCAGCGGGGCGAGGCGGGATTGGGGGAGGAGGGGTTCCCCCCTCACTTTTCCGATCCCTAGCTTCCACGGCTTTATCTTGATCGGCTTTAAAGACATCAGGAGTGGCCCGCAGCAGCCTCATACGTACAAGCATAGCACGGTGCTCCTGCAATCGAACTTCCTGGCAAATAGACAGAGGAATGCGGGCGACCTCGGCCGCGGCGTCAGCCAAACTATCAGCAACGGCGTTCGCAACAACAAGGGCACTACGTGATTTGCCCGCAACAATATCGTGTTCAGACTGATGGCTGTGGGTGGGAAGGACAGATATAAGAAACGGCGGCCGACCAAACAATTCATCACAAATACGGGCCCACAGGTCGGCATCGGGACCAGTGGGGCGCTCATACTTGCGGGTATACCATCCCGCAGCAAGTGGCTCAAAATCAGTAACATACAGCAAATACCCTTTAGTGAACTGAAGGGCTAGGAGGAAAGCGCGTACTTCCCCCCTGGCAACAACCTGTCGGCCCCCACTGAGGGGCCCCAATATAGAAGCCCGAAGAGACAACGGGGCCAGAGAATTAAAGCAGGCTATCGCAAGCCCTACGCGCCGGAGCCTGGGCCATTTGGGCGCAGGCCCCCCCGACGCACCTCCTGCAACTAAAATGGGCTCTCTGGAGGCCCCCTCGCCCAAGCAGCCCACAGACAACTCATCGAGCCCCTGGAGGTGCCACTGGCCAACCCTAGGGGCCTCGGGAACTTGTGTCCACCGGGGGGGCAAGAGGCCTCTAAGCCAAAACCCTGCATCAGTGTTACATTGTGCAACGGAGGCTGGGCTCAAGTGGGCGCTAGCCTCATACGCCCGTGATCCCACATTCTTGCCACGCTTCCAGCATAGGCGCAGCAGCGTCTCAGGGGCGACGCCGCACCGATCACAGCAAAGGTCGCCCGTGTAGCGCGCAAGCTGTTGCTGCTTGCGCTCCGTGGGCCAGCAGCCCCCCGCCGCCACAGCCGCCATCGCGCTCGCAAGCTGGTGGCCGTGTGGCGCGTTCTCGAGCTGCTGGATGAGGCGTTGGCACGGGTCCATGTCCACTCCCCGCTCCAAGCCTCCACCTCCGTAGCGGCTGCAAGCAGAGGCCCGGCGGATACGCGTGACCGAGGCCTCCAGGTCACGCAACACATGGTCGTGGACGTCGCGGTGTCGATCCCCTGCGTAGGACTTGTCGGGGAACTCCCACTGCTCAACTCCACCCTCGTCCGTAACAGAACTCCATTGTGTGGGATGGTGCGGGTCCCAGCCTGCCCTCATGAGTGTGAGGATCACAGCTGCAGTGGGGCCCCGCACGTGGCGGGCTTGGTCCGCTGCTGGGAGCTCGTGCATCTTGGCGTAGATATTCGGCCACGCCGCGGTGATGCCTCTTCGTATATCGGGGTGATCCCTCCATGTGCGAAGCCAGAGATCTACCAACTGCACTGGGAATCGGATCGCGGGGCCACGGCGAGGGGCCTGCTAATCAAGCACCGCGGTCAAGCATCGCCCGCGGTTCTGCGCCGAACAGGCTTGAGCCAGGCGTCGTCTTACCAACTGGAGATGACGACCAAAGACCCCGTGGATCTGATGTCCGTATAGTCCAGCTGGTAGGCCCCCTTGCATCTGCAACTTGGCCATCACCGGGTATTTCCTGGACGCGCGAGTGAACAGTCTTATCTTCGCCGACATCATGACATGCTTCCGCCCCCGCAGGCGTCGCGTGCTGCGAGCGTGGCGGCCGCGCCCGAAGTCCACTCCTAGGTAGGCGGCCTGAGATACTCCACGTACAGCGCAGCCTCTGCACTTGACCGCTCGCACAATAGCCTTAGTGTCCGTCATCTCCGTCGTCATAATAATCGACTTGGGTGAGACCTTCAGGCCTCTGCCCCCCAGCAGCCGGCAGGCGTGCGCGACGCAGTCGGTGATGTGGCGCACAATGGCCTTGCTGGGTCCAATCATACTTTGCGATAGGTCGTCCACCCGCACCCTGTGTCCGAGGCGAGGATGCGCGACAGCGATCTTCATCATCACAAAATGTGTGAGCACCTTTGCAAATCTCGCGTCGCTGTGCAGCCCCTGAACCACCGAGCGAGACGGCTCGAAGGTCATGGTGACCGCACCTGATTGTTCCAACGCCCTGGGCGATATGCATGGGCCAGCTCGAGGTACAGCACAGCTGCTGGATACTCAAGTCTTAAGGCCGCCTGAACCAAGGCTGCCCAGGGCATCGTGCCATAACATGCCTCAATATCTAACATCACATGGCCATGCGGCACGGAAAAGGCGCGCGCTACTTCCTCACCCACTGCTCGTAGGAAGGCCTCCTGGAGGCAAGGGTTGCCTCTGATAGCAGCATCCCAGTCCGCGTGGTGGTATTGGGCCCATTCCTGGACGTGCGATTCACGTATCATCGGCCAAACCCGTCCAAACATAGATGTCATACCGATAGCCCTGTCAGCTCCACTCTTCTTGGGGGTGGGTTCCCCCAAGATCAGGTGAGTCTGAATCGGCCACGTCAACGTATACTCAATTGCCGAGAGAAGCAAGGCCAACCCCTGCTGCCCCCTGTGCGGAAGTCGTCGGGAGTCAACTGGTGTAAATGCGTCAACTCATAGGCCTGGCGAGGCCTTCATCTTGGCACATGATGCATCAATCATGTCGGGCGAAGTGTCAGGAAGGGGGTTGTCCATAGCAATCGACTGTATCTGCCAGAATAAATCACGAATCGCGTCTAGATCAGGTTGCACAGGGGCCCACAATGCCTTGAAAGGCAGCACCTTCTCGTCCATGATGTCACGAGGATGGAAGGCAGTCCTCTGTGGTGTAACATGTTCAACACCTGGGAGTGTCCTGGGCTTGAGTGACCTGTGCAATATACCATTGGCTGTGGGTGCCTCTACACACTTCTGAAAAACTCGAATCGCATTGGCAATCGCTTGTCTCTGGGTGCGCCCAGCCACCCGCCCGGCACATCTCCCCCACGACTCGATTACCACCGCAGGAGCTTCAGCCCCTGATGCCAGCAAATCATGCCAACACTGCCATGGGGGATCTCTGTTGGGCCTCAGCACCCGGTGGGCCTGTTCTGGAACTTCACGAAGTAATGTGTGACAAGCTTTGCGATAACCTGCAAGCTGGAGATGTCCATTATCCCGTTGAATACGGCGCAGGATTCCCGCCAAGACCGTAAGTAGTCG